AATATTAGCAAAAATCTTTATGTGAAAATTATTCTATCAACCTATGAGAACAAGACACAGTAATAATGCCATAATCTCCTTTTTATTAACTATTAATCTTTCCTGACTGTAAAATATTGATTTGAGAAACTGCAATGCTTTATAAAGTGCAAAACCAAAGAATGATATTTAAACTAAAAAGAGATTTTGATGGCTAAGCATTCCATGGGAACATTTCTTAAAGAGGTACTTTATTTTAGCAGTTGGGATCTGAAAAAAAAATTATAAGGCAAGAAAATGAAGATTTTTCATTATCCTATCCCTATACTTTCAGTAACTTTATTTCATGCCATTAAGCTGGCACTGATTTTTATTGACTATATTAATAGATTCTGATTCTTAATAATTTCACCCATATTTATTTCTTAGGTTAATTGGTACACTTAAACCTAGGTATTCTGTATAGAGCTAAGCTGAAATGATTCGCTTCATTTATGTTTTCAATAATACTGAGAGGAATTTCATTTCACCTTCCAATTTATGTATTTTAAATGTATGCTTTGATTAAAATCCTAGGAAATATGATCTGTTTGAAAATCCAGTGATTGCCTTTCACAAAATACTACTCAAATATTCTAAAATAGAATATTGATACAATTTTAATATCATTCAGCACCAAGAGATGGCTGGGTTTTTTTTTTTTTTTTTTAGATCTTAAGCTAAATGGTTGAAGCACTGGAAGGTTTAAAATTGTTAAAAGACTGAAAATGTAAGAGCTGTAATTTGCAACAAGACTCAGACTCTTCAGTATTTATAACTAATTTATAAATGTAAACTAAGTAAAGGTTTTGTCTGACTGCTGTCCTCACAGCAGTAGCTATTTCTTCTGGTTGCTTTTTATTTATGCATTTAAACATGTCTATTAAAAACCTTGAAGCAATTTCAACAATACGTGACAGAATTAAAAAATAATCAGTTTTACGTACCAGCATTCTATTGTAGCATATTAGAGAGGGGAGGTAGTTCCATATGGCAGGAGAAGCATAGCATAAATTGCTTCTATACAGGTACTTGCTATAGCTGCTGAGCTGAGTTTTGGGCGTTAATTTGGTCTCATATTTTTTAAAGGCTTTCTCAGCAGGTCGAAGCACCTGAGCATCTTTATCTAGATACAAAATTAAGTGAGTTTGGGCAGATTGAGTAATTAAAGAGAAATCACCAAGAAACCCCAGATCTGGGAAGTTGAAAAAAATGAATTCTGGAAAAACAAAATGCAAATTATTTTTATGGTATCATCCAAAATAAGTTAAATGCCTCTATAATCAGTAGAGCTGAATTTTGCTTGAAGGAATCTTTACTTTTAACTTATATCCATACTATCAGTTTAAACTTGGATTGTACTAGTCAGGGAGCCAATGAAGTTACTTTATCAACAGGCTTCCCTGCAAGCTTTGTATGTCTAAAACAGGGGTTCTCAACCTTGGCAACTTTAAGGCTTGTGGACTTCAACTCCCAGAATTCCTCAGCCAGCTTTGCTGGCTGGGGAATTCTGGGAGTTGAAGTCCACAAGCCTTAAAGTTGCCAAGGTTGAGAACCCCTGGTCTAAAAGCAATGTTCTGAAAAAAAAGTTTCACATTTCTTGCTGAAGGCTATCAGATGTTTTTACATGATTTGGTATCTGACCTGTTGAGCTTATCAAACACATGTAGATATCCTGACCTGAATCTATGAAGAAATGTGTGGCTTCAAGGAGAGGAGTAGGAGAAAGAGAGTGTGGGAGTAAGGCTAATGTACCTCACTCTTCTTCAGTGCATTGTGTGAATGTGGGGAGGAGAAAGACACTATCAAACAAATGGCAGGAGAGTTTTTTTGCCCTGAGGTAACAGCTGTTATTATCATACTATGCCTCTTTCTAAAGGTAATAATATCTAATGATATAGAAATATAAATAAAATCTAATTATGCCTTTTGAATCAAAGGATAGAATTGTGACAGTCAGAAATTGCTCAGTCCACAAGATGTCTGCATAAGTCCCTGCAGATCTGCTAATGTTGCTCCGCTAACACCTCCTTCTTGCAAAAGTCCACACTTTCAGTGCAGACTTGTGTAGCAGAAAGAATGATAATGCAGGATCTTGGTTTTTATAGAACCCCAAACTGGGACATGAATTATTTCTGCTGCAGGTGTTCATGGATTAATGTTGGCAGGAGAGTAGCAATGTGATGTCTGCTCCTTGATGAGGAACTCCCGAAAGCTAAGTATATTTTGTTAAGAGAGCTACAATAAGTGTTTTGGTATTTTTCCACTCTAGAAGCCCTTCAAGAGACCAGGCTGTCAACCTCAACAAATGCATACATTCAGCTGAAGGCTGAAGATGATCTCTGACTTGATGGCCACTTTGACATAACACTTTGGGTAAGTTCTTTGGGAGAAGCCAAGTCAAGAATAATGAAAAAAGATCTCTGATCTTTTGTAAATGGCCTTTATAATTCTGTTTTAGTCTCCTCAGTTAAACACAAATTCACAAATTCTGTGGATGTCCTCTATACCTATAGATCAGTGGTTCTTGACCTGTGGGTCGGGACCCCATTTGGGGTCAAACGACCATTTCATGGGGGTCGCCAAACAAGACTGTCTGCCATTTTTCCCCCTTTTCTTTGGCCACGCCCCTGGCACCCAGTGATGTATAAGTGGTTGGGGGTCACCACAACATGGGGAACTGTATTATGGGGTCGCGGCATTAGAAAGGTTGAGAACCACTGCTATAGATGATAATGTGACTGTTGTATATTCCTGTGGGTTCATGCTTCCTGCACTTTGATCTGTAATGTCAGTATCAGTCATGCTAAGGTTTCTTGATCTGCTCTTGCAGGGAAAAATCATCCTTGTCTCAATGTGAGTTTTCCACCACCATTCCAACTGTTGGAGTCATATTCCACCAACACTAACACTATGTTAATTAACAGAGTACAAGGGAAGCCTAGAGGGCAGGAAAAAATGTTGAGCCATTAAGGGGTATCCTTTTAGACACTATAAATGTCTCTCTAGAATGCTTCCAAATTTTATTAGCATCACAATCATATCCCTTTTTTCTAAGCCACATTCTGTTAATTCATTTGGTGCTTGGGAGTTGTTATGGATATTGGTTCTCCCTGATAGAGGAGTTACATTGAACTAAACCTACCTGTGCCATCCACAGATTAATTATTGTCTTCCCATGTATCTCCATGTCCATGTGTACAGCTATACATACACAAATATCCAGGTACAAACAAAAAAGTATTCAGAATTACATTCATCTTCAAAAAGCCTGTGAACATTATATGCCTGCCCTACAATTATCAGTGACATCTAAGAAGCTAATCATGTATCAAATATTAAACAATTCCTAATTTATTTTTCTGTAAACAATGGTGACATTTTGCTTTTGCCAAAAGGTGAACTTTGTATTTAAAAATATATTTTATCATGAAATTAATACAATGCAAGATTGCATCCTTGTCACAGTGTGACTCTCAAATTATTAGATGAGATTGTGTGACTCTCAAATTATTAGATGAGAGAGAGAGAGAGAGAGAGAGAGAGAGAGAGAGAGAGAGGGAGGGAGACAGACAGACAGAGACATACACACAGAGAGAATGTAGTATAATGTTGAAATATATTTTTAGCTCAAGGTGGGTATATTTTTTAGGAACTGCAAGTAAAAATTTCCTAAGGACCTAGAATGGGTCAAGGCATATCCTCTTAGTTGATACTGGTGGGCCTTTCCCAGAGTTAAAATTTTATAGTGTCAACATGCAATGGATTACTTTATGACAGATCTTGGGACATGGGAGTTTTAATTTTTCTACATTCAATTTTTAGGAGTGTTACAGCTTGTATAAGCGTCAGTGAATTAGCACCCTTGCTTTTTGTTTTAGACAGAGCTCAAACTTCATTTGGGTTTCAGAATTCTGGATGAAAAGCTAGATTTAGTGCTTAATCAGGGCCATGGAATTCAGGACTAGGGTATAAGAAAGTCCTATCTCATTAATCCAGGCATGCTGTAATCAGCAGATCTTGTCTGCCCCTCACAGCAGATACACAGAGTTCAAATGAGCACCTAGATTGAAGGTGAGTGATGATCAGCACAGCAGCAAATAAAATCAGAGTCTGTACTTTGATTTTCTTCTGGGGATTCCCAGCTGTGTTGGGCTGCTCAAAACAGAAATGTGCATAGTTGCAAATACTCAATATTATGATGTTGCATCTCTCAATGTGCAATTAGTCTCTGAAACAAACAAGTAAGACACAGGGCCGCCAAACTGAAGGGAAGAGATATGATTATTGGTTCAAAGTTCAAAACAACAGAGCTACATCTCTGCTCTGAATTCCTTCTTTACAAAGCCATTTTTCTTACTTTTAAAAATATACTATATGAAAGTCTTGGCTTTTTAGACAAACGTTGTTTTGAGCATCTTACATGTGCTAAGTGCTTAAACGCCTTATGTAGCATGCCGGTTAAAAACATACATGCATTTTCCCCTCCCTTCTTCTGAACTGTTCCCATTTATTTCCCAATAGTTTCATCTTAGAATTTGACTTTCCACAGAGTCCTGTTCAAAGTGACGCTTTTTAAAATTACTAGGCCTGTCTTGTGTTTAGAAAGTGTCATTGGCTAAAATTGGGTGCAGGTCTTCTCTTGCCCAGAGTTGCTTCTCTATGCTGGGGAAAAGCAACCACTTTATGGTTGTTCCGAATCTCTTAGAGATGCAGGAACTCAGTCAGAGGAAGATGTGGCAATTCTAATTCATCACCCCAGACATCCCCTTTGGATATCATTCATCCCATGCCCAGTTCTATGACATACAGGTTTCTAACATCCCTTCCCTCCCCCCCTCCCCCATGTTTGAATTTTAGAAAGAATGCCTGCCTGGGTTTGCAAAGGATTTTGAGGGGGTACGTTGCCCATCAAGAATCTTTTCCATATATTCATAAATGTAACCTACCACAATCTGTGATACACAAACTTGGAAACCGTGTTCATGTTTCAAGAACACTTTTATGATCTGCTTGAAAAGGACATTACAGTTGAAGACCAAAGAGCAATATTTATCAACATTTAAATAAAACATTTTGGTGGCATTTATGGATAAAAATATTTCTTCATATTAATAGATCACAAAATTAAATAGCTCAGATACACAGACACTATTTAATATATTTCCACTGTTGTCAAAATCACCTGTAAACACCATCTCACACTGAATACAAAAGCAGCTTTTATACCAGTTCCGTGTTCACAACACTGAGTCCTCTCTTCATAAAGGAAGTTGCTTTTTTTATTATTATTGTCAGATCTGAGTGTCAGATCAAAAACGAAAAAAGGTGGGGAGAAACCTGATAAAACTCTTGCTTTTAAAAAATGTAAATAAATCTGATTTGAAACAATTGCTTAAAGTACAGTCCTTTCCTCTGGCATGTCCTGACTTTTACAAAGTGCAGCAGAGACACAGACCCCCTCTGGAACATTTCCTGTGCACACAGCCCTGAATGAACCAGCTGGAGTTGCTAAGGGGGGGGGGGAGAAGGGGGGACGTGTCCAAGCTCTGCTGAACTGACTGATTTGATAAATAAGAGGGATCACTGTGTCTCAGCTACGTTACAGCCCTTTTTTTTCCTCTTTCTGAGAAGGTGCTTAGCTTTTTGAATTGGCAAACAACTTACATTCACTTGGGACATTGTACTGCACAAACTGGAAATTTCCACTACTGTTTGTAACAAAAACAGCAATAATAATAATAATAATAATAATAATAATAATAATAATAAACAAAAGCTTTCAAAATCGACAAGCATTATTGAAAGTGCCATTTCATTATTTTTTTTTTAAAAAACACAGTTATTTATCCCATGTCTAAAATGCCTTTCAATGTACAGAAAATAGACACAAGACTCTGGTGCATTTTCCTTGGGAGCATGCCTAATTCAGACAGCTGGAAAGAAGTAATGTGCTTATTCCATAAATTCTTTGTCCTTGTCATACGCTTCAACAAAAACACAGGATAAATACGGACCTGAGTTTTTGCTGACACTATTCTTAAGCCTCTTTCTGGATTTCTCTTTCTCTCTCCCTCCCTCCCCTCCCTCAAATTTGTACAAAAGATGAGACTTTCTGTTCCAGCTTTTCTACAACTTAAAGAGATTCCCAGGGCTGTGCTTGGTACTGCACTGGAAATCTGAGTCCCTCTGTGACCCTCACATTTAAAGCAGAAGTAAAGCCTGTACCCAGTTTCTCATGAAGATGAAATTCTCGTAAGGATTCTTCTTTCTGGACTGGGCCATCCTTCTCCAATTTAAATAATATTTTAATGTTTAAAGGGGATTTCTATTTGAAAAATATACACGCTCAGTTCTTCTGCTTGAATGTATAGATAGGGATAACATGCACCCTTCGGAAATTCTTCACTGTTGTACATAAAAATATTTTGTGGCATTACAATTTTAAGATTGCCCAAATCAATACAATATAAACGAGTTCTGAAAAACTGTTTTCAAGGCCCCTGCTCACATCTCATAGTGATGGCAATTACTGCTGAGAAAGACAAGACCTCACCTTTCCTGTAAACAGACAGCAAGTGCTGAGTACATGGGATGCTCCTGCACAAGTTATTTAATAAACTGGGTCAACAAATTGACATTACACCTACAAAAGGAGAAGATGGGAAGCTCTAAGATGTTTGGGACATCTGTACAGTATTTGGAACACACACATATACCCACATTTTAAAATAGATCAGTCCAATTTGTGACATATTAGAGCCTACCAGATTTATCAGAAAAACATATTGGGAGTGGGCTAGTTACGTGTGCTCTTCTGAGATCCCCAGAATGGATTAACAAGTGCAGGACTGAATAGATCGCTAATAGTTTTGTATGCAGCTTTTTGGAATTGTGTAGATAGTTTTTCAGATATCTGGTTGTTCTTTAATAAATACATTTGTAATTCATTTTTTTGCTTTATGTGGCTTCAACTGTTACAGTATACAGGAAGTATTAAAAGGATACATACACCAGGCTGCTACTTCCACATCTTGAAGATATGCAGTTAGCTCCAGCAACCACCCTCCCTTTAATGTTTATTATTGTGGTTAAAAAATACTATTCTATGAAGCTTCCCGTGGAATCCGCTTATGAAAAATGACTGATGGTCTCTGCTGATATTGTTGCCTACGTCGTTTGCGTTTGTCACATTGACAGAGCAGTAACATCTTGAATGTGGTTCTGAAAGTTTTATTACACAGTGCATAGCACATAGGATTCACTGTACTATTGATGTAGCAAAGCCAGTACCCCAGGTTCCAAAATGTTTTAGGGATACACTTACAAAAAGTGTTTACCAAGACCATGATATTATATGGGGTCCAGGTGATAATGAAGGCAAACAAAATGGCGCTAAGTGTCTGTGCAGCTTTCTTCTCTTTGATAAGTGAAATTCGCTTTCGTTTGGTGATCTGACTTCTTGTTTTCAAGGCGAACTTCTTGGCCAGGGTGGCTTCCTTGAATGACAAAGGTAAGGCATTAGGTGCCTTTATCCCTGTAGAATTGCAGTCTGAAGCCTTTCCTGCATATACTGCAGATGCTGATTGAACTGGAAGCTTGGGAAAGCATTTCTGTAAATTCCCATCATCCATGCTCTTTTGTGGGTGAAGCCTTTTTGGTTTCTGCTCCTTCGACTCTGTGTCCAACTTCTGCAGTTCATCTTCTGACCCAGGCAAATCTTCTGAGGAAGGCAGTTTTGCAGAATTGAGAATTGTACTATGTCCTGGAAGCTTTAGTACAATGGAGTAGATGGCACGAGTGTCCGAGGCAATATCATCTTCCTCAGAGGAGGCAGAATTCTCAAGCGATGCGTTGCCATCATTGTTGTTCCAGCTGTCGCTGCTGCTGTGCTCCTGATCGACCTGATCTGAACTGGGTTTCCAGCTCTTGGATGTCATCCAGAAGTTGCAGCCCCCATATTTTCTTCGTTTGGTATGTTTTGTGTCCTGCTGCTGTAGTTCATAACTGTTGCAGCTTCTAGAACTTCCCGTTTGGTTGACAAAGCATGCTGCCTCAGCCTCACTCCCAGAAGCCTGGAGTCCTGCTAACTCTTTGGTACGTTTCTCTGTCTCCTTGTATATCCTCCAGTACAAAATACTCATAATAGTTACTGGCAAATAAAAGGCAGCTATGGCAGTGCCAAAAGTGAGGACAGGTTCATTTAGGAACTGGATATAACATTCATCGTCTTCGACAGTCCGCTCTCCAACAAAATATTGCCAGAACAGAATAGCAGGAGCCCAAAGGATGAACGAGATGACCCAAGCTAAGCCAATCATCACTGCAGCCCTTCTGGTTGTTCGTTTAGCTCTATAGGTAAGTGGCCTCGTGATGGAAAAGTATCTGTCAAAACTGATGACCAGCAGATTCATGACAGAAGCATTGCTTGCCACATAGTCAATGGAAAGCCATAGATCACAGGCCAAGTTTCCCAAAGCCCAGCGGTCCATAATTATATATGTAGTGAAAAGGTTCATGGAAATAACACCAATTATCAGGTCTGCACAAGCAAGACTCAACAAAAAGTAATTGTTAACTGTTTTTAGCTGTTTGTTGACTTTAAATGCCACAATCACCAAGATGTTTCCGATGATGGTGACCAGGGCCAGAATGCCAGTGAAGAAAGCAATCAGGACAACTTGCCAGACAGCATGTCCTCCCAGAGGATCAGGAGGAGCATGAGACACATTGGTCATGCCCATGGTAGTGAGGAAAAAGCTCTCGTTTGCATGGGAAGAGCCATTGGTGCTAGTAAACAATGGAGCTTCATTGGGAAGTCCTTTTCTTTGGGAATCTCGAATCCAGAAGGTGCTGACATTTGGAAGTAACGAAGTGATTGTGCTGTTGCTAGACGGGATCATTGTGACATTCTGACATATTCTGCAAAAAGGTCAGAAGAAAGAAATGGCATGTAAATAATATACTTATGACTGCATGTGCAGCATTATTACTAGCATCAAACATATGATTCAAAAAATTTAGGAGCTAGATCCTGCTAACAGAGTAGGATTATATCATGAAGATGAAAATCCTTTAAACATTTGTCCCCAACATTTATGCTATCTCCAAACTACCCATATGTTTCATTTATTTCTGGGTTTTTATTTTTGTAGTATAAATTGAAAATGAGGGGCTCCATACAGCAAATGACTCCAGCAGGAACAAAAGGATAAAAAACATGCTCCCATGCTAAGGATCTAACCTGCTCTGAGTTTATGTGCTAATTTTTGAGTAAAAAAACAACAACACAAACATAATTATATAGAAGTAATGTTATTTTAGCCAACTTTTCTCAATTTAGTATTGTGGAAGGACCCTACTAGAAAAAGCCATCCAACTTGAAATAAGTGCTCAATTTTATTGCTGACTACATCCTTGACTGTGGACAAACAAGAGGCCATTGTTTAAAAGTTAAGAGATGTTAAGCCAATTGTTTTATGCTACAACTGAACATTCAGCCAGGATCCACTAGCAAAGTCATCTCTGTAATGTGATTACCATTTTTTAGCTTGGGAAATTCTTTTATGCAAAAATGGAACACATCAATTAACCAGGACAAACGTACCGTATATTCCGGCGTATAAGGCGACTGGGCATATAAGACGACCCCCAACTTTTGAGAAGATTTTCAGGGTTTAGAAAGTCGTCTTATACGCCAGAAAATACAGTACAATATTGAATTTCTGTTTATAGATGAGCACAATAGGAGCTCCATTCATTTGCTGCTGGAAAGCTTTGTCCTGTTAGTATTTCTGTAAAAAAAAATAGGGCTGGCCACTAGGGGGCAGTTTGGTTTTAAATTCAGAGAACAGCTACCCGTATATTCCGGCGTATAAGACGACCCCCGACTTTTAAGAAGATTTTCAGGGTTTAGAAAGTCGTCTTATATGCCGGAAAATACGGTAATTCCCACTGATTTCACAACATAAGATAGTTCCAGTGGACTTTGGGTATTTTCTAAAACTATTCTCTATCCAGTGAGGGATGATGTTGTAGCACAGCGGTTCCCAAACTTTCTAGCTTGACAGCTTGGCCCAATGGGGGTGGGGCATGGGAGTGGTAAGAGCACACGCACATGCACATAGTTCAATTTGTGGGAGCAGCAGGTGCACGGGCCTTCAACTCATGCAAATGGAGCTTTGTGTGCGATTGGATGGAGCTTGCACTTATGCGCTTGCCCATCTATCCCACAGCTCGGTTTCAAACAGCCCATGGCCCGGTAGTGGGGTGTGGCCTGGGGATTGGGGACCCCCATTATAGCATGATTGTCTGACTTCCGATTTCTGTTTAAACAGCAAAAGACCCCACTGAAAGATATTCCAATATTAGAAAGTTTCTTACAATCGTTAGACAAAATCTTTCCTATGATTTCAATTTCCATTTTCTGCTGGATGGCCTTTCAGCTATTTGAGAATAACTATGTTGTCTTCCCATAATCGTCTCATCCCTGGTTAAATACTTAGTCCTTTCGTTAGTTCTTCTAAAACTAGATTTCTGGCTTCTTTCATATCTTGGCTGCTTTTTTAGTCCAATTAGTTAACACCTTTTGTAGGATATGGTATATCAGAGCTGTGGTGGCACAGTGGTTAGAATGCAGTACTGCAGGTTAACTCACTCCAGGAGTTCGATTCTGAGTGGCTCAAGGTTGACTCAGCCTTCTGAGGTCGGTAAGATGAGGACTTAGATAGTTGAGGGCCATATGATGACTCTGTAAACCACTTAGAGAGAGAGCTATAAAGCACTGTGAAGTGGTATATAAGTCTAAGTATTATTGCTATTGCCATCAACTACTTGCAATTAACAAGGGCACAAACATCTCAACTCAACATCTTTTTTCTCCTTCATCAACACCCAGAATAATCAAGTCTTAAATTATCCATTAGTGGTACCAGTGTTAAAATAGCATTTACTATCCTATCTTGAAACCATACAGAACTGGATTTAAGATATATAAAATCTGTTAAATTTTGTTACTTTGGCACCTTTGAGTCAAGTGCAGCAGGTAACAGTGACTTGAAACAGCAAAAGTGGAAGGACAGCAAATTTCATGCAGCTTTGATTTTCTGCTGATTCGAGGATAAGCAAATGGTAATTCAACTCAACAGTAGGGAAAGGCCTTAAAAGGCCTTACTTTCTTTAGTGCAATTAAAAAGTTGATTATGTTTCACCAGTTCCATGTCAGGTGTCTCTTTTTTTATACGAGCATAATCCATATAAACAAGAATTCAGAAACACATTAGTACCATCAAAGACAGGAACCAAAGCTGAAATTTTATCATGTATGCATGATAATGCCACGTCACAATTACCTAATTGTAGTAAATAGTCTTCCTGATTAAATCCCACACAGCTTTCATAGAGTCTCATAAACCTATTTCAGATCTTGCAGAGAGGGAATTTATCAAATAATGTATCATGTTTTAATTGAGGGGAAAAAAGATAAGATCAGTTGGCAAAGCAGCCTGTAAAAAAATATGGACAAGAGTAGAAGAAATGGCCTGATTGTTATGTCCAAAGGAGAAGATATAGGAAAGCATTGTAAAATCAGATACTCTCAAATGCGGGAAGTAAAATGAAGAATAATTGAGCACATCTAACACAGAATAAGATCTGCAATGTTTTCACATAAATTAGGTAATGTTTGTTTGTACATCCTGCCGGCCAAGCATCTGGTTCACAGAGTGCTTTACAAAAGCAAAAGACCCACATGTCAGAAGGAACAAAAGTGTCAAGAGTTTGCTTTAAAAGGTTGAAATTCTAGCATATCCAGATAGCAACATGATCTCACCCAGCAGGGAATATTGTCCGATTTTAAAAAGCTGCTGGCATTGCACCAACCCACGACTGAAACTTGAATTACAAACTTGAATTGTACCCTCTTTGAATCTCTTATTCATGTAAAATTAGGAGTGATTTTACCATATTTGGAATGTTTTTGTTAAACTGAATCTTCCCTAATATGCTAAAAAAAAATAGGATGTACTGTTTGTCTGCACCTTATCTGTTTGGAGCTGTTTAAAAATAAGTTTTAAGTTTATTAGAGTCTTCAATAAGTAGACAGAAGAGAAGCAATTTTAAAACACCAAATCACAAAGGAGACATATAGACTGTCCAAAATACTGTTTTTCAAATTTGGGGAAACAAATCCTAGTACTAAAAATTTCACTAAACTATTAGTTTAGTAATGTGTTTTTATTTCTAAAATTAATGAGAAATAAAATACTTGGTTTCTATGAAAAATAAATGAAAGTACAAAAAAATTGCAAAGAGGAGGAATAAATATAGATACATTTTGTTTTGATGCTGATTTTTTTTAAAAAGTTATTGTTTTAGCTGACAAGAATTGTATTGATAATCTGATTATAACATTGAAAATCTTGATTGATGTAAATCTTTTTATACATTTAAAATAAAAATAAAAACCATTGAGCAATGCATTTGAATATTTATAGATCACAATGCTTTAGGTAATGTTTATTACAATGTCATAAAATTTTATACCATTTTAGAACTCAGGCAGAGTCTATATTGCTATGGAATAAAATATAAATGGAAGAAAAATTAATAAACTAGACAATAAATTCTAACCAAGAAGAGCTTACAAAAAAGGAAAAAAGTCAAATGTACTTTCTTAGTTTATATTGAACCTTATTTTCAATTTTAGGCCACCAAAGATGACTGTTTCTTCATTAATACTGTGGCATTACTATATAAGTATTAATCAAAATTTATAAAATGCAGTTACAATCTTTCAAGCATGTTCTATTAATAGAACTTAGCCATTAATTAAGTACATGTATTAAAAAGTTGCAAGCATTTCCTGTACCAAAGTGCCCATCACCTTTTATCTTCCACGGGTTCAGTGACTCATTCATTTCATAATTTCTGAGCTGCTTTGCTGCTGTTCCTAAATTATGGAAACCAGGATTACCACAAGCGTATTTACTCTCATCACAGTGGACTTTTATCAGTTTGTCCTGAGGTGAACTCTAGGAACTATAAGTTGCTATAGGAAACACCAAGTGTTGCATATTACTGATAATGACCTAGTGCTGTGTCTAAATATTTCTGCCTCTCAGAAATCATGATTGTATTATGGCTAGACTTTGATCTGGCCATCATATGCATCCCCCAACTTCCTTCCAAATACAGATTTCCTCTATTTGTTTGCAATGGTGGAAGACAAGGCTTTGGGATAGAAAGGTCCCATCCAATGGAATAGAAAACTTCCAGCTATAACTGGACTAATTTCCTTCGTACTCAAGTGAATTGAAATACTGAATTGTATTAATCTGTGATTGTCCATAATGAATATTGTGGTATTTTGAAATCAGCTAAAGAGAGGCTGATAGAGTAAGACCCTTAAGTGAAATGTCTAAAATTAGTTAATGGGACTTGATGTGTAAGTCTCCTTTGTGACTTAAGAACCTCATATAGGTTGTGTGTTCCAAACATGTCTACCATCAATCCAAATATAGGCAGAAACTTTGAAAAATTGTTTTCATTGGTAGCTGATAAATTTGCTCCTTGAAACAAAGGAAGAGACGGCACATCCAACTATGTTTTATACATAGTTAAAAACTTGTAATAAGGCCATCATCATTAGCACAAGTGAAATTATTAGGCTAGTTAGGAGATACAGGATATAATTCTGTCCTTTAGAGCAGGGTCCCCAACCATGGCAATTTTAAGACTTGTGGTCTTCGACTTCCAGAATCCCCCAGCCAGCCATGCTGGCTGTGGAATTCTGGGAGTTGAAGTCCACAGATCTTAAAGTTGCCAAGGTTGGGGACCCCTGCTTTAGAGTGTGGTTGGCTGGACAGAGGGACTCAGGAAGGATGACCGGGGAATTGCGATACACTGGTCGTATTTTGCCTCCA